GAGAAATCACATATGTGTGAGGAGTGCGGCAGTGAATTTATCTCATTGGGAAACTTATCGACTCACATTCAACGGTATCACACTGAAGAGAGACCGCACCATTGTCAGCAATGTGACAAAGGGTTTGTGACCCGAGGAGAATTAAAGAGTCATCAGAGGGTTCACACAGGAGAAAAGCCCTACAGCTGCGGTGAGTGTGGGAAAAGTTTTTCACAGCTTTCCAGTCTTATCTATCACCAGCGCATCCACACTGGAGTGAAACCGTTCAGCTGTGAGGAGTGTGGAAGGAGTTTCACTCGACTATATTATTTAAAGGTCCACAAGAACATCCACACAAAAGAAATGATTTTCTCCTGTGACCAGTGTGGGAAAACATTCACCTTGCTGCAACAGCTGAGAATCCACATACGTATTCACACTGGAGAAAAACCATACCAGTGCAGACACTGTGATAAGACTTTTAATTCACAGGGTCCCCGCACAGTACATGAACGCATCCACACTGGAACGAGACCGTACAGCTGTGAGGAGTGTGGGAAGTGTTTCACTCAATTAGGTCATCTAAAGGTGCACAGGAACCGCCACACAAAAGAAATGCTTTTCTCCTGTGAGCAGTGCGGTAAAGATTTCTCTTCATCATCTAACCTTAGAAGGCATGTTGTTATGCACACCGGAGAGAAATTGCACAGATGTGACCAGTGTGGGAAAACATTCACCTTGCTGCAACAGCTGAGAATCCACATACGTATTCACACTGGAGAAAAACCATACAAGTGCAGACACTGTGACAAGACTTTTAGTTCACATACTCAGCGCACAGCACATGAACGCATCCACACTGGAACGAGACCGTATAGCTGTGAGTTGTGTGGGAAGTGTTTCACTCAATTAGGTCATCTAAAGTTTCACAGGAACATCCACACAAAAGAAATGCTTTTCTCCTGCGAGCTGTGCGGGAAGGTCTTCACTTCTTGTGGCGCATTTAATTATCATAAAAGGATCCACCGAAAGAAACAGCAATAATGTGCACTTTGCGGAAAAAATTTGAAAGGGTACAAAGTCACTGCTGTACTCTCACTGAAGATACAATCTGAAAGTGTAAAAACGCTGTAAACAAACCTTCATTGAGCAGTTGTGATGTCAACATACTTCGTCTTTCTTGTTTGCTTGTTTTAAAAATGTTTTTGTTGTTGGGTGTTTTATTTCATTAAAAAAAAATTCCTAGCATTGGCATGGTTTAAAAAAACCCAAAAACATTTTTATTAATTTATGTTCTGTTATTTAAAACAGCCATTTCAATTCTTGGTTTCTATTTTAGTGTGTTGTTTTATGTTTTTATTTATTTATTTTGATATGAGATTTTAATCATTGGATGCCATTTTTTTTCTCTTTAATTATTTTAACACGTTTTCCAAAAGTAGAAAAGTCCAAACAACATTTTTAAGGATTTTAGATTCAAAAAAGAGGAAAAGGAAGTGAATTCTTCCTCATTCCTATCTCTGTTTTATATAAAGAAACACGTCCTTCCAATTCATGTAATATAGTTCTATAAATATTGTTATACATTGATCTATAATTACTTAACTACAGCTTTCCAAAGTGTAAACTGAAAAA